TACCTATCTTCAGATTATGACGTATTACCTCCAGTGACACCCTACACCCTACACCTACACCCCTCCATCCCGATGATGTCTATTTTTAGATTATGATGTCATCATTTTTGATGACGTCAACCCCTGGGGTATTGTGACGTCACTGAGTCCCTGTGTCCCTGTTGCAGTACCCCTAGTCTATTACTACTCCATTCGGAGCGAAAATTTGTATGAATATTATTTTTCGGCAGCTCTTATACAACATTAAAGTAAAATCTCAGGAAGTTTTGTAGTTTGAATTTTAATGACGTCATGTGAAAACCAGCTATTGCGAAATTTAGCTTTTTTTTTCGTGCGTTATTTCGGTAATTTAAATCTTAACGTGCGGTATCGCGGTATCCAGTACGGTATGCGGTTTTTGATCCTTTTGGCTGACGGTGTTCGGTAAAAGAAGGTCCTTCACGGTATTGCGTTACCGTTCATTGAGGGTGGTAAAGGGTATTTTCGTGATTCGTGAGTGGCCTAATTTTTTCCCGTGAAATGTGTTGTTTTGTTTTGTTTTGTTTTTTTTTCGTGAATCGTGATTTTATTAGAAGCCGTGAACCGTGATTTTCCAAAATAATTCTTTGTGAAATGAGAAAGAAGTAGTTAATTCGTCGTGAACCGTGATTCTGATTGTGACTTCTATTATTTTCGTCAGCAATTAACAATATTGCGTGATCGTAACAGGACAGTCATCCCTCTTCGTGTTCTTGCTCGCTTTTCTTTTTGCTGCGCGCAGAAGAAGAAACTGACGGATGATAAAAACATCTAACAAGGCTGTGCTTTGGGCGTGACTTTTCAAATATCATAAGTTACGAAAGTTTGTGTCAAAAAAGGCTTTCTTTTTCGTGAAACGTGAAATGCCGATTTTATTTCCCGTGAATTGTGAAAGGACCAATTTATTTTCCGCGAAACGTGATCTTGACCCCCACCCCCATCCCCTCTCCACTCTCTTCATTTGCGCTTTCCTGTCCCATACAGGTCAATGCACTACGCAAAACAAAACACGGTAAGCTACAAAGGTCAATAGGAGAAAGCTATAAAGGTCGATAAGTCTTTGACATAATGGTAAATGATTACACAATTTCTGACAGTTAATTTACAAGTGATTGTTTTTACACCCAATGAAAATGAACCGTTTCTGTTGAGGTACCTGACCTGACTTTTCGATCTGCAAACCGCCGAGTTCGAGATCTTCGAGAGGTCTCACGTTTTCTCGGAAGTGGCTGAGCCGGGTTGCTCGAGACGTTGACGAGGTCATTATTTTTTTATGAAGAGGGCAAGGGGGCCGAACATTATCAGAAGAAAAATAAGTTTCGATACGCTGTTGCGAAAGGCGAAAAACGCCTTGTGAAGTTAAAGGATTCGGTAAGTTTGTTTGCTTTGTTATGCAGCGTACGTGAGCGATAGCTTGACGACCCTTGACAGATTAACCTCAGAATAGTCCCACATTTAGTTATGAAAACTCGTTTTCGCGCTCGCAGGGTAAAATATGTGGGAGTTTATAGCTGTTAGGGCGACTTATAACGAGAACTTTGCGGTAATCATAGTTTGCCAGAAAGCCATTTAGTCCATTTTAATTAAAAGTGAC